TCTGAATTTTTTGTCTTTTTAACCTATTGTTCATATAGTCCAAATTAAGAGCAATCCTTGTCTTTACAACATATTTTTAGCTCATTTTGACCATTTATATGTGTGTTTCTTTTAGTCAATTTGTTTATTTCTAAAATCTGTCATTTTTTTTTGAATATATATAGTATATTGGTCTTTTTTTGTTTAATACTGTAGATTGTACGCTTCAGTCATATGGGGAAAATCAACAATTTATTCGATTGTCTTTGTATAATTATTATAATTTAAAATAAAGTTAGGATTACTTCTTATATAAGACAGAAGGATTTTTCTATAATAAAATTTTTTAAATAGCTCTTTTTTATTATTACTATAGAATTCCTAATATTTTCCGATTTAACGCAAAATGTGAGATAAAAGACAAAATTTAAAGATTATAATGTTTTCTTATCTATTAATAATATTTAAAATAAAATTTTATTCACCATTCCTATTCTTAAATAATTATAACCAAGTTGTTTTTTTTTTTATACTATTTTGTTTGCATATTTTGCGAATTGAAAATCATTGCACTAAAAATTTAGTCTAAAATATTATCATAAAATATTTTTACTGGGCATTATCGTAACTGATAAGAAAAATATTGATTTACAACGTACTGTACCTTTCCTGGTAGTGGGTTCTTAAAAGAACCCGAAGATAATTTCTCATAATATGCTTAGTTATAATAAGGATTCCAATAACTCATAATAACGTTTGATCTCAATGTAAACCTACATTGATTCTTAAGATAATAAGTGTGGCAACTTATGCTGAGATATTAAAATCTATAATACTTGCTAAAATCAACATATACTCTTTTATGAATAACCCTAATCCTAAAGTCTAATTAAATACTAAAAAAAAACGGTACAAAAAAAGCTTCAAAATTTTATAATAAAATAAATCAAATTCTCATCATAAGCTGCCACAATAAGGATGGGGTCTTTGTCTTAAAAATGATCTTATGGTACATAGTAATTATAGTACTATATGCCATAAGGTCATTTTTCAAGGTAAAGACCCTATATATCTAAGCTTAATGCTAAAAACAACCGAAAAATAGGTAAAATATTGATCTAACTATTCAATTTTGGTAGTCTTTATCGAACTTCAATCCTATAAAATTTTTTTTTTTAAAAAATTATATTTAATTCAGATTATTTTTTCATATACGCTGATTTGGTTCGACTCCAAAATTTAGTCAGTCAATTGACTTAATATATAGAACTAATTTAATATATCAGTTAATTTAGGGTCCTATTTTTTATACCCCTTGTGAGGTTGCAATTTTTTACAACTTTGAATGAAGATATCTCAGCACTTACCTAATCAAATTTGATAAAAAAATTTTTTATTTCAATTCTACAGATTTGTAGGAAAAAAAAACACCAAATTTGATTAGGTAGTTGTCAAGATATATTTAATCAAAGTCAGTAAACAGTTCAATCATCTATCAAAATTGTAATCTTAAGTTTTAAACTTTGAACGAATATATCTTGGCACCTACCTGATCAAATTCAATGAAATTTTTTTGTTCGAATTCTAAAAATTTGATGATTTTTTTTTTTTTTGTTTGAATTCTACAGATCTGTAGAATTAAAATAAAAATTTTTTTATCGAATTTGGTTGAGATATCTTCATTCAAAGTTGAAAAAAATTGCAATTTTACAAGGGTATAAAAAATAGAATCCATAATTTATACTCTAATTAACTTCATTGGTTTGACGGGCTTTTAAATAGTAAAAAAAAAACCATTAGTTTTAGGGTGAGTCTATTGGTTCGATGAGTTTTTAAAATATAAGATATAATGTTTAAATATAAGATATATAATGTTTAAAAAAAAAACAAATCGGCAGATATGTTAAAAAATAAGCATTTTTCTTATGATAACAAAAATCCATACAAACCTTTAAAATTTTCTGAATATTCTCAAATTTCTTGAATATTTATAAAACTTTGCTAATTTCCTGATTATAATTTTTTGCTTGATAATGTTAATAATCAGGAAATTAAAAGATTTTAGAAATGTTCGGGAAATTTGAGAATATTTAGAAAATTTTAAAAGTTCTGTATAGATTTTTTTGTTAAGAAAAATGCTCATATTTTTAAAAATAATCTGAACAAAGTCTGAATATAATTTTAAAAATTTTTTATAGACTAAATTTTCTCGCCATGGCTTTATTACTTTCCTATTAGGAACGGGATTTTTTTTTTCTAACCCATCAGGAATAGTATTTTTACTTTTACCTCGTTGGTGTAAACTACTATCGCTATGAGAATTTTTAAAAACTTTATAATTCAGGCCATGCATAACGCCATAACGCCGGCTCAAATTATGGATCATACACATTTCATATTCGCAATTTGCTTGCTCCTACAGAAAACACTAAAAATAAGAAATACTTTAATTACTATACGGTATCGATATTATTAAATTAATATGATGTGATTTTATTGGTTACTTTAGGATATTATAACCAATACAAGCATCGATATATCTACTTTTCCACTGGCTTTAGCTAGCTAATTTTAGATTCCTTAGCTCGCGTTATACTTAATTTTGCCCAAACTTAGGTTTGTTATACAAGTCTTCAATTAATAAAAATTCACTATATCGGGAGCTTTATTAATAATAAATTCATTAATTTATATAGACTGACTTTGAGCTTAACCGAGATTTTAATTGGTGTTCATTAGTTATGAGACCCAAACTATTTTACACCAATACAGCAGTTTGGAATTGGAATTGCTGAAATTCAAATCATTACATCATAAGTATTACTTTTTATTAGTTTGGGACTGTTACGGCAAAGTCCCAAACTAGTTTTGCCAGTTTGGGATACAGCAAATGCCAAAACTACCAGGTTTGGGTCTCATAACGAGAGTGACTTATACAGTATACTGCATTAAAAATTAAAAAATTGCAAAAATATCGATCTGATAACCCTAACGCTAATATATCGATCTAATGCTAAATAAATCAATATTTTTAAACATTGTTATGTAATATAGTAATACAGTAGTAATACAGCCTAAAAACTAATGGTTTGTGGTGTGTGTGTGTGTGTGTGTTTGTGTGTGCAACTCCTCAATATGACGCACAGCCATCGAAATAAAAGTTCATCAAAATGATAACTCATTTGATTTGTTTGTTTGATTTCAACTTTATCTTCGACGTATTGCTTGCTTGAAACCCTAAATTAAAACTTTAAAATTGTCCAACAAATTCGATTTATAATGCAAATAAAGAAAGGTTACAATTATAAAGCAGAATCTGTAAGTGTTTATTTTCATATATATAATAAGATTCGTAAAATTATATTTTATAATGCAATCGACCCTTATAAATACACTTAATAAAAGCACGAATTATGTTTATACTCTCTAATGCATATACGAATTTATGAAGGGTTGATTGTACATTAATCTTATAGTTTGACCATTTCAGGTAAATGACCTTTCAGATATAGCTTTTCAAGCAATAGATGAGGTTTCCGAAGAGCTTAGAGAAATTAGCTTGAAGGTATTAATTTTTGATCAAACTAATATTGCACATAAGTTATTTATCCATATTTGTTGAGCTATTATTCAAGAATTGCAAAATTTATTCACTTTAAATAGATTCACGATCATCCAGAATTGGGAAATGAAGAAAGATTTGCTCATAAATTATTAGTCAATTATCTTAAAAAAAAGGGATTCAAAGTAACTCCAAATGCTTATGGCCTTGAAACTGCTTTTGTAGCAGAATTTCATTCTAAAACTGGAGAAGGACGTGTTGTTTCTTTTAATTCCGAGTAAGTAATCTTGATTTAATATACGCATTGTATATATATATAGTTTACACAACAAATAAAATATTCTTTGACTTTTATTTTTCTCAGATATGATGCGTTACCGAATATAGGACACGCGTGTGGACATAATCTTATTGCTATTAGTGGTGTTGCTGCTGCTATTGGTATTAAAGCTGTACTTGAAAAACTCGAAATTAAGGGAGCGGTAAAATTGTTTGGTACACCGGCAGAAGGTAGGTAATTTTTATTTAAACTTTTTTAATCATATTTTATTACAATATTTAACCAATATTCATTATTTAGAGTCTACATTTGGTAAAACTGATTTAATTGAAGCTGGTGCTTATAAAGATGTCGATGTTTCCTTAATGATTCATCCACAGCAAGTTTCTTTTTATTATTAATTTATAAATATTTTTTTATTATATTTCTTTATTTATTATTTGTAAATATTCTACGTATAGTGTACATAACGGTGCATATGGAAATTTCATCGCAATCAAGTCTGTTGATGTTGAATATTTCGGAAAATCTGCACATGCATCAGGTAAGTTTTCCATTGTGTGTAAAAATAATTATAAAATACTGTAATATTTATCAAATTATTATACATGTTAGGTGCTCCGTGGGAAGGTATTGTATACGTATAACAATTATTTTCGTTAATGCATTACATTTTTATTAACTTAAACTTATGCGGAAACGTAGGAATTAATGCTCTAGATGCTATAGTATTGGCTTATAATAATATTGCAGTGTTGAGACAGCAAAGTCTACCTACAAACAGGTAGTTAAATACAAAACAGGTTGTTAGGTTGTACAATTTGATTTTTGGTTTTCATAACTCAGCCAAGTAAACCTTATAAAAAGAAATTTTCATAAAGGGTGTAAATAAATTATTACATCAACTCAGTAGACATAACAAACTTCTCTATAACGAACTCAAAATTTTAATAATAACGCTACGGTCTAAGAAATCATAGTAATCAGAATCATAAGTTCGTTATAGGAAAAGTCGACTATAAAGGTTTCATATATTAAAATTCAGAATTTGTTATAATTCAAAATAAAGAACAACTGAATTTCTGGGTCACTTAAAAAATCAAATCTGTATGTCCTATCATTGCTTGGGCAATTTTTTTTTTTTTAATAAATAGTCAGTAATAACGAACTTTTATTAGGATTCATGGTATAATTACTAGTGGAGGAAATGCGCCCAATGGTTTATAAATATTTTTATTTTTGTATTATTTATGAATTATGCATGGGTTGAGACTAATAATATTTACTTGACCTTTTAGTTATACCGGATTACACTTCTGGTAAATTTAATGTTCGAGGAAGAACCATTGAAGATTTAAAAGCCCTTTATCCACGTGTACAAAGATGTTTTGAGGCAGCAGCTGAAGCTACTGACGCAAAACTTAAGATTACATGGCATAGTGAAGCTTATGGTAAAAATTTCCCTTAATTCATATTCTAAAAAAAAAATTATCATAAATTAAATAATTTAATTTTTACAATTTGATAGAGTTAAAAATAAATTCACCAATGGCAACGCGCTATGAGACTTATCTTTCACAAAAATTTGGAATTAAAGTCCCTTCAAAAGAACAACAATCTTCAATTTCATTCGGCTCTACTGATCAAGGAAATGTATCGCATGTAGTACCAGGAATTCATCCGACTTTTAACATTTTTGAATCGCCTAGCAATGTTAGAAATCATACACCAGAATTTACTAAGCAGGCAAGAACTAAATTTGCTCATGAAAAAACCATAGAGGCTTCAAA